CTTTCTCACAAACTCTACTATTCGATTCTACTATACACATATCACATATTATTACTATAAATGATAACCCAAAAACTGCTTATCGCTAGCTTTTCCATTTTCATTCCTATCATCATCTTCTACATACCCTATTTCTTTATATCCCATCTAGAGTAGATTCCAAATGAATAGAACGAAAAACAAAACGCTTCCACTGGAAACAACACTCTTCGATCTATTCATTCCACAATATCCCATTTCCACTCATTTCCTTCCACTTCACAGTAAAAACAACTCCCTCCCTATTCGAAATCTATTCTTCCACTCATACCCAATTTCAATACTATTTTCACAATTGCACAATTCCTGTCTATTTTTGAAATCATTTGTTTTACAATAAAAGCTATTAGCTTCGTCTTACTGGGTTTGAATGTATTCAAAATTTGGAATTGGACTTGTATGTCCTGTCTTTTGTTTTGTTTTCGGACTTCTAGGTGTTTTTGTGTGTTGTGTTGTGGGAATGTAAGTATTGTAGCTGGGATGGGTTCTGTCCTCAAGTTGGTGTGTTTGAAGAAGTTAGTGTAGTGTGCGCTATCGTTACTTTGACTAAACTGTGTGTGTGAGATATGCATCGTGAACGCATTCAATACCATAATGGCGGTGGACCCTGGTTCCATTTTTGCTGTGTGGAGTGTGTTCCGAGTGAGGAATTTCTGTACTTCAAACTGTGCAACGTGGCGAACCCATTTATGCCATGTGTGACCGCGGATACATGGAGATAACTTGCAACGTGGGAGGTATCTGGTACAGGGACGACGTTCTTGCCTAGGATATTTGTTCTGTTTCTCGTATTTTCATTTTCATATTGTGAGGTGGTAGAGTGTGGTAGAGAGAACGGATTTGCGATGAGTGAAAGGGCAAACTATGGGAGCAAGAGCTGTAGGTTTGTAGAAGCGGAGCGTGTGTGGAACTTGGGAGAATGGGACAAGAAGGCGGAGTATGCGAACTGCTGTGGGTACGGTCCTCGCCTCTGATTGATGGGAGCCGAGTGAACTGGAATGGGCAGTGGGAGCAGGCGAGTTCCAAGACGGTGCAGTTCTGCATTTGTGGGTCTGTGGAGCATGGGAAGGTGGAGGTGTGCGTGGTGCGGGCGTGTGGGAAGTGGTGGAATGGAAGAGAGGTGAGGTGCGTGGCGGTGGTGTGCCCCGCGGACGAAGCGGCGGGGTAGCCGGAAGGGCACTTGGGGCAAGTGTTGGATACGAAGTGCGATGTGGACTAGTGGGGCATGATCACGGATGGGTGCAACGCCTATCAGCAGTGGGAATCGATCGATCGATCGATAGGGGACGGGCTCCTGCCAGCCCATCCTGCCGATGCTGCGCTGCGCTGCGCTGCGTGGCGGGCGATGGGGCGAGGGACGTGGCGCTGTGGACGATGGGAGATGGGAAGCAATCCACGATGTACTGCACGAGCAATGTGGGCGTGGGCGAGGTGATCAACGACCCATTCGAGCCCATGAACATCCACATCGTGTTTGAATTGGCCGAGGCCACGTTCTCCTATCCCACCACCGCGATCTCCATCTCCGACTACACCATTGCCTTCGCCTTCGCCTTCGCCTTCGATGGCTCCTTCCCGCGGTTCTGCGAAGGCACGCACGCTCTACATCAATGCCAACAGGTTGGTGTCCCGAAACGGCCTCCCCTTCCCCGCGGAAACCCTCATCGCGACCTTCTCGACCCGCGCCGGCGTTCGGTTGGCGTTCGGTTGGCGTTCGGTTGGCGTTCGGTTGTGGCCTGCTCGCATTGTGGAGAGCGCGATTGGTATGAGGGAAGTGGAGTAGGCGCAGCGCAGCGCAGCGTGTGTGTGCAGATGGAGGTTCCCTGGAGCAGTGGCATCTCCGATGAAGCCCCGATGGATGGCCTTGATGGGCAGCAATGTGCAGAGCCAGTTCTTCGAGACGCGCTCCGTGTTGGTGGCGGGCGCCATTGTGAACAGCGTGATGGCCATCAGCTGGCGTGTCCGCAAGGGCGCCTCCTGGTCCGCCTTCGCGTCCTTCTCCGTCTACCGCCCCGTCGTGCTGCTGCCGCCTTCGAAGCCACGCAGGTGCGCTGGGTCTGGTGGTGGTGCGAGCTCTTCGTGCAGGCCTTGGTTGGCTCCCACTCCCAGCTCTTCGCCGCCGACGCGCTCCTCCAAGAGGGCGACGTCCAGCAACCCGAGCTCTCTCTTTCTCTCTCTTTAGCTCTCTCTCGATGCGTGCGTGGCCTACTGGGTGCGCGTGGCGCTGTGCTCCGCCGCGTGCTCCATCCTCTCCGAGGCCTCCTCTCCCATCACCCTCGCCGCGTATGTCGTCGCGCCCGGCGCGGTGCAGAACCTCGAGGTGGCCGCGCTCTCCTCGACCTCGCTGCGCGTGCAGTGGGCAGAGCCGGCGGAGCTGGGCGGCGCCAGCATTCGGTACTACGTGGTGCGACGCTCGTGGATGGCGTCGATGGCCGTGATCCAGAGCGAGAGCGAGAGCGAGAGCGAGAGCGAGAGCGAGAGCGAGAGCGAGAGCGAGAGCGAGAGCGAGAGCGAGAGCGAGGTCGCCAGCACGAACTGCTTCCTGGACCTGCAGAGCGTGCAGAGCGTGCAGAGCGTGCAGAGCGTGCAGAGCGTGCAGAGCGTGCAGAGCGTGCAGCACGCGCCCATCTATCTGAGCGTGGCCGCGTTCAACGGGTATCTCTCCCGCCAAGAGAAGATCCTAACATTATAGGCAATTCCTTCGAAGCAAATCGAAAGTGTCTTAACCAGTTGGATCGACAAGCCAAAGTAAAACTATTCTTGAGCCCTATTATTTTGGTGGATTATATTGAGAAAGCGAAATACACTACTGAAACTGTTTTCTAATGTACTCCTTTAGAACTAGCTACAAAGCTCGGATAACACCAATAATAGTGTTATAAGCACAGAATAGCTTAGGAAATCTTGTTTCAAAGACATTCTATTCTCCAGTGTTCCGGATAACAAAAACACATTCCAAATAGCGTTCTTCACTTCTCATATAATTGTATAGGCTATTAAAATGTGTGAATACCCAACCAAAAATAACAAAGCTTCCCAAAATAAACAATGGAATGTGTTTTGGAATTGCAATGATTCGACATATTTCCTATCGAATGCTCCACCACTCAATTGATAATGGTTCATTTTTGAATATTCACTTTGAAAATAGCAAGACATATTTGATAGATGAAATATGAAAAATCGAGAAACAAATAGAACTACTTTTGTTGGAATTTGAGAAGCAGGCATTTCTAGCTCAACTTACACCGTGTATGCATACTCCTAAATTTCCAATAGAAAAAAAGAATTGTGTTTCGGTGATATTTAAACTGGATATTAAACTGAGTGTACTTTTGGATTTTCTCATATTTTTTTTATTTTGGTCAAATAAAATGGTAGAGGAATGTATTGTGTTATCTTCCATGCTTATGAAAAGCCTATTTGACTGAAGTTCGCTTCACCGAGTATCTACTGGACGGATACGGTACGCTCGGCGACCCTGAAACCCTGGTCAAGGGTGGAATCAAATACACTGTTCAGCGATTCCAGGAAAAGCACAGAAACGAATTTCTATTATGCTCAGAATCTGGTGATGTGTATCTGTTTGAAAATAACGTACTGAAACAAGAATGGAAGGAGGACGAGAATGGGAAGAAATCGGAGGAGTTTATTCGATACAAGAATGGTCGAGCCGATTTCAGTCAGCGATTCGAGTATATTTTGGAACAAATGAACAACAAACGTTTTGTTTACCACAAGAAAGGACTTCGAATGGAAATCTGGTCAGTTCAAACGGGGCATTTGCTGTATCACGGAGGGTACAACGAAAGACGAATGAAAGAAGGCTGGGGCATCGAATACGATGAAGAAAGCGGAAATGTGGCTGTGGAAGGGATGTGGAGTAAAGGAGTATTGAAAGAAGTGATTCGATGTTTCAATGGAGATACGATGACCGAATTGAAGCGAAACGGAGCAGATAGCTTGGATCCAACGAAACGAATTCCGATCTATGTGGGTGGATTTCGCTATGATGAAGACAATGAACGATTTATTCGTGAAGGGAAAGGATGTCTGATTGATGAAAAGACTGGAATGGCAACTCGAGAATGTGAATGGAAAGATGGAAAGGAAGTGAGTGGAGTGGATCTAACTGATGGATGGTACGATCCAAAATTGAGGTAGGGTTTATCAACAGCCATGATTCCTAGACCTGCTTCTGTTCCTGCTCCTCTTCGAATCAACGTCACTGGATCTACAAAATGGACCGATGTGAGTTTGCAAGTAACCGATTTGACGATTTCATCGAATTGCTGTAACGATTTGAATGCATTGGATCTGAATCGATTCGAGTGGCTACGATCTATCGAAATCGGCGATGAATGTTTTGAATCAGTGCAAACATTCAAAATCGAAGGATTGAATCGATTGAAAACTATCAAAATCGGAAACAATTCATTTACTCAAGTGAAACAAGAGTGGTTTGACCGTTCCCATTCCAATGAAGAATGGTATTCTAAGGTCAACAACGAATCGAAATCATTCCACATATTGAATTGTGAATCATTGGAATCCATTCAAATTGGTGAATGGAGTTTCAGTGATTTTGGAGGCGACTTTGAATTGAAGAATCTACCACAATTACAATCCATTCAAATTGGTACAATTGGAAGTGATTCATGGAATTTCAATTATAGTTCATTTGTGATTCGAGGTATTGATATGATATTGAATATTTGAATGATGCATAGATCTTCCAAATCTACAATCCATTACATTAGGGAATTGGGCATTCGCTTATTCCTTATCAACAATAATTGAAAGTACTGAATGAATTGGAATGAAATGATTGATGTAGATCTTCCATCATTACAATCCATTCAACTCGGTAGATGGGCACTTGCTGGAACATGGAAGAATGATTCTTGTTCATTGATACTTCGAAGTAATAATGAATTGATTGGTTATGATTTGTTTTGTAGATGCTTCCAAATCTAACATCAATAACTTCTAAAGGATATAGTTTCTATTCTCCTCGTGTAGTGACATTGGAAAGTATTTCTGAATATTGAATATTGATAGTATTTAGATATTCCAAATCTTCAAAATGTCAAACTACCTCGTTCATTCGAGAAAGTTCGATCGAAATCAATTTCGAGTATAGTTTGATTGATTTGATTTGATTCATAGATGTTTCTTCGATTCTCGCTAATCTTGTCAAAATCTAGCATTAAATCTATAATTTTGATTTGATTTGATTTGTTCAGTGATTCGTCATTGTTTAGGAACATTTCCATTGATTGATTGATTGGTTGATTGTTTGTTTCAAACCGATTCTTGATCACAATTCATGATTCTATAAATTATCAAAATATCAATCCTACCTGATTATTATGATGTTCTTCTTTACCATTTTAACAATGGTACTCAATTATGATTGTTGTTTCAATCAATCAATCAATCAATCATTGTTTTCGATCATCATTATTATCATCATTATTATTATTACCAATGACCCAATGATCACATATTGAACATTCACAAATGATGAATCCAATCTACCAATAATAATAATAATAATAATAATAATATAGAAATGATGGTTTGAATAGGTTTGAACTAGGATTTGTTCAATATTGATAGGAAACTGCTTGCTTCGAATAATAATCATAATAATAATCATCATGAATAATAAGATTGGATTTGCTAGTGACACAATGGAATGGTTGGAATCGATTGATATTGGATGATTATTCACATTTGTGAATCCATTGTTAAATCGGCAGATAATACAATGCAATACAATACAATAGAATGATTGATATTGAATTAGGATATTGATTTTGACTTATTGAATAGGAATCGATCATTGTATACATAGAATAGAATAGAATAGAATCAAATAGATGTGAAATGGATAAAACAAGGCAATGAAACTAGAATAGAATAGAATAGAATAGAATCCGATTGAATAGCATTGGAAATCATATTGGATTCACCATTCAATCAATCCAACTATCATTTGTTTGTTTGTTTGTTTGTTTATCAATGAGTCACAAAACATGGATTTATCAATTTGATAATAATGGAATCAAATCGGATGTGTTTGATACTTGATAGTTGTAGTTCGTAGTAATATCAATCGTGGTTTCACAATTCGATATTTGGATGGAATGTCGTATTCTTCAATATCACACAAACCATTCACTCATACACTCACTCATTCATTCAATCAATCAATGGATGAAAGATAGCTGATTCAAAATGCAAATGAATGTTGAATATCGTAAAGAATCAATTCATCATTCACACTCAATAATACTGATAAGAATAGAAAGGCTGTTCAATCCATTGATCGATTGAATGATTAAATGAATGAATGGTGTGTATTTGGTTAGTTTTCGATCTCCATTCATCATTATCATTATAATGATTGTATGATCATCCACATTATTCATCGGTCTATTTCAGCATATTGAATACCATTAGATCACTTTAGTATTGTTGATCATGAATAGAATGATTGGATAGGATCGATTAATCAGAATCAGAATCAGAATCAGATTGATGATGAGTATTCAACCATCAATCCTCGTGATTATTATTATTAGTATTAGTATTTGTTTTTGTATTTGTATTTGTTCGATTATCAATGATATAGAATCGATCGAATGATTCATTGATAGCGATCCAATCGACTGATAGAATTATCCAATTGATTCGATCGAATCCAAATGGAACAATCACTCAAACACATTGTAGTCTCAATGGTTGTTTTGCAATTGAATCGATCGAGATTCATGAAATCATTATGTTCGATCATTGGTTTAGCTGGAATCTATCATTGTACTGTATTGCATAACAATACTCTTATTTCTTTCTTTCTTTCTTTCTTTCTGATCATTATCATTATTATTACCATTATTATTATTGATATCATTCAAATCATTAGATCCCATTCGAACAAGCCAATATGGAATCAGCATTTGATAATCACAATACAATAATGAGGCATATTGTGAGAACCATTTGTGTTGTGGTTTGAATATGAGTATTTCGATAATGGCCTTTCTTGGAATCCATTGTTTGATTGTATATTCAATATGCTGTTTGAAATCTAACACCGATGAATCCACAAATCACATATTTCGAATGAATCTTGATCGAACGACTTCAATCGAATCGTTTTGACAAGATTCGTTGCACTTAATCCAATTGAATCAATAGGAATCGACACAATCCATATTTGTTTGTTGAGATAGTATTAATTTGGATAATACTCAATGATTCATTATTCTTTTGTTTTTGTTTTCTTTTTGTTTTGATGTTGCTTATCTATTTTTGATTATTCCATTTTTCATTTGTTGTTGTTGTTATTTTTCAACTTTTGGAATTGATTGTAGTTCATGTTATTATTTCATTTTCGATTTTGATTTTTAGTTTATTCTTGTTTGTTTTGCTATTCTTTAGTTTTCTTTGTTTCTTATTTTCTTATATTTGTACATTTTATTCCTCTTCCTTTTTCTTTTTCTTTTTGTTTTGTATTATATGATTCTAATTTGTATTTAGTTTTTCTTTTTTGTATTTTCTTTTTTTCTATTCTAACATTCATCTTATTATTATTCACTATCCACCAGACAAATTGGATTGTGTCGATTCTTATTGATTCAATTCTCATAAGGAAATATGTGATTATTTGTTTGGATGGTTCCATGTTTTGTTTTGCTTATTTCTGTTTGTTTTCTGTTCATCATCATCATCATTATTATTATATATCCATTTTAACCAATCATAGAATCAATCATATGCCATCAGTTTGAAACAACAATACAAATTCCACAGATCATTGTAAAATGAACCAGATAGAATTGTTCCAATCATAATCAATCGAAATGTGTTCCTATTAAACGAATCAAATCAAATCAAATCATATCAAATCAAATGATCAAGCGGAATCGAATGAAATACAATGAATCAAATCAAATCAAATCACCTAACAAGATAAGATAAGCTTAAACTTACCAAATGGAATTGAAATCTATGAAAATCATATGAAATCAATTCCATTCTATTTATCAACAATACTCGAATCGATTTCGATTGAACATACCCCAATGATACAAGTAGATTGACATTTTGAAACAGATTTGGAATATCTATTTACCATCTCTATTCAATATTTAGATCCACTTTCCAATGTCACCAAAACGAGGACAACAGAAACTCCATTATACAGAAGTTAGTGATGTTAGACTTGGAAGATCCAAAGCAAATCATAACCAATCAATTCATTGTTACTTCGAAGTGTCAATGAAGTTGAATCATCATCATCATCCCATCTTTCTCCCCTACCTTCCAGTATCCGATATCATATGACACATATTGTTTTTCCTTCTTATTCATTCATTCATTTTGTCTTTCCTTCATCACTCAATCACTCATTCATTCATAGATTAATGGATCATTGATTGTCATAAAGGAAACACTTGATTCTTTGCTTTCATTGATTCCATTTCTTCTTTTGTTGACAAGGAATATTGTTATCGATTTTGATGGTCTGGAATCAATGAATGAATGGTAGGGGAGAAAGAGAGAAATAGCAATAGCAGCAGCAATAACATTCACAGCAACAACAATAATAGTAGTAGTAGTTGTTGTAGTAAGCAATGGACCAAACGATCTATCAAATGATTTAATCAATAATCAGAACCTACAATACGAAATCATTCAAATCAATCCGATTGATGTTTTGTGATATCAATCAATCTTTCCATGCAAACCGACAATCAAATGATCTTCTCTTCATTTATATTGAAATCTGAATCGATTCACATAGATTCATTCAATTATGTGGATTGTTTGAAATTAATATGCATTCTTGGTATTTGTTTGTTTTCACATATCGAGTTTGTTCTTCATTTCGATCATTCCACATAACAATCTAATTGATCTATTATCCAGAATCGATCAGTAAGTATTATTGATTGATTGATTGATTGATTGATCCATGATAATAATAATACCCATATTACCAATAATATGACTATTATTATCATGGATTTGGTTCTTTCCTTATTTCTTTATTAAACTACACATATGATTGTTTCAATATCTCTTTCTATGATGATTACTGTTATTATTAATCATCAATAGCTATGGATTGTTCTCAGATATTCTTATTCTTCTTATTCCTTTTACTGTTATTATTCTCATTATTGCTTGTTATTCACATACACATTGTTTGTTCTACATCAATTTGGTATTGATTCGATATCGGACACTGCATTGAGTTCACAATTCATCCATTTGAATTATAATTCATGTTATTGTTCGTTCCTATTATGTTGTTGCTGCTCATTACTTCATTTCATTTCATTTCATTTCTGTTTTAGACATTGCTTTTGAACACATAATCTTATTATTATTCTCATTGATTTCTATTACTGTTATTATTGTTGCTGTGCCATTTTAACGAATTCATTATTGTCGTTATTATTGTTGTTATTTGCTTTGTTGATTGATAGATTCATATTATGAAAGAGTATACAGAATAGGCATCGATTCAATCAATCAATCTATCAATCATGCGTTAAACAGTTATAAAAGCATGAACAAATGATTGAATGATTGAATGATTGAATCGATGACATTATTGATGCAGAATTACAGTTCATTGGTTGTGATAAAGGTCTTTGTTGTTTTGTGAATCACTCCACAGAGAGAGAATCTTTCATTCATTGATTGATAAATTCAATGATTTGTTGGTTGATTCAATCATTCAATCAGCCATCCAAACCAAAGTGAATCAAATATGATACTATAAATGAATATGGAATGGAATAGATTGAATGAATGAATGACATGCTTGTTACTGATTTACAGATCATTGGTTGTGAGTAGTATATTGAGATGTCAATCAATTCTTAGATAAGATGTCATTCATTCATTCAATGATTTGATCGTATAATCATTCAAACATCCCATTGCAATTCACATTATTGGTCCACTTTATACAGATTTAACGATATTTCCTTGTCAACAATCCATCATTCATTCTTATGGTACAAAATAT